AAAAGAACTTTACATGCATTCATACTAAGCATATGCAAATTCATCACCTTACATACATACATACTACATACGTATATATGTACATACGAACATGCATATAAGGCACACATGCGCTAATATGCCATGGGAACAAGCGCGTTGAGATATTTCACAGACAAACATATGGATATGTAAATGTACATACATACCCACTGCAATTAGTAGCAATGTATGCGTGAGTGCTATATACCCTGCAGCGGAAAGCACTAGTACAGAACTAGTGAATTCACCAGTTTTCGGGAGTCGAATACCGATACCTCGCAAAACTACCACACATGCTTTCTACTGTCGCATTTGACAATCCTAGGAGGTGACAATTAATTAAGAGAGCGTTTGTTTTCAAATGCAAAAGTTGTGTTATAAAGTTTGAGAAAAAATTTTTGTTTTAAAACAGTATTGTAGATGACTATCTAAGGAAAAAATTACCATAATTGAGAAAAATTACAAATAAATTTTCGTTCAGAATTTTCACCATGAAAATGGAAAAATTTCGGAAAACGCATGTTACCATCGTATAGCCCGTACAAAAATCTATTTAAATCATAGTTTTCGAATTATTTTTCTCATTTTCTGCCTGCTTATATACAAACAGATTTGAAAAGAAACAACAAAAATTTAAAAGTGGTAGTTATGTATTGCTTTAATTTGGTACTTTTCAATTCGATATTTGAGTGGTGGTCACACGAGAGAAACTGAACATGGATAAGTATTCAAAATTTATTATTTACATTTAAATGGCAAATAACAAATTCCTTTATGTAATAAGAGAGCATTATCATATTAAAACGACCAATTAAAAGGTGCAATATGTAATCAATATAGCTCGATTTCTTACTACCTGGAGCATAATATGCTATCGGAACTAGTAATGTAACTAGTACGAAAGCGACAATTGTCAACGACCCCGCTGCAGGGTATGTACATATATATATTACTTCTGCGAACCTGCACTGCATGTAATCATTAGGGGCATTCTCTGAGTATTGCAAAGCCGTTGCACAGTGCACAGATTGCACGGTAAAAAGCGGTATTCGTATGGGACAGCTTTGCAAACCGTGCAATACGTGCACCATGCAAAGGCTTTGCAAGACTCAAAGAATACCCCTATTATTTAATAATCATAAAACTACCAACCACGAACAAAAAAACAACAAAAGTCAATCGCTTTGCTCATAAATATGCATTTATGGCGACTAAGCGAAGTAAAAAGAAGTAAAATTATGGCGAACAGCAAAACTCGATGGCAGCAAAAAAAAAACGCATAGCGTCGACGAAAGTATCAAAAGTGACGATATGGATTATAGCGTTTTTGGGTTTTGTTATGTTCAAGGTTATAATAAAGGTCTGCAGTTCGCTTGGAACTGATAAAAAGTCCATATGAACTACTTACCATTTGCCAAAAAGTGCATAATTATAAGATATTGAAGTTCCACTTCAAGAAAAGAGGAAGCGAAACGCAGGCAGCTAAATACATCTGCAAGGTGCATGGCGAAACCCAACTGTACTTCTCTCGATCTCGTTTTGGCAATTTATTTGCTAAATAGGCACCTCGCATCGATGGACCAATCAGAGAAACTGACAGGATTGTAAAACCAGTCAAGGATGTGAACATATGTTCCGATAGTCAGGCGGCCATATTAGTTTCAGACCGTGGAGATATTGCAGGAAACTGCAGAGCCGATGAATTGGAAAGACAGGACACTTTTGAGAAGTTTTATTGCATAAAATCAATGGTAAGTCGTAGCTACCTCAAACTTGCACTTTGTTATACTGAAATTGAATGGGCTAAAAAATTGCATACTCAACTTTTTTCTAGAGAGCGTAAATGAAAAGTGCAATAATTGAATGAAATTTAGCATAATTTTCCTTAATTCTGCACAAGGTTTGAAACTCTGATTTTTGGGGTTTTTGTTGCAGAATTAACAATATTTTTATAAAAAATTAGCGAAAAATAAAATATTTGAAAAATAATTGCCCGTATTGTAAAAAATTCGCTTACATACATGTACGAAAATTAGCAACACCGTCAACAAAGAAAAAATCTCAAAAATCAATGCGAACTTTTGGCCGCCTGAAATATGAATAATATTTTACACAAAATTTAATGGCCTATAAAACTGCAGTATAAATTTTGATGCAATAGTTTGAAATTTTTACGGCCTTTTTTTGAATTTTGCGAATTTTTATAAAACTGGTACAAGGTTAGAAACATTGAGTTACATGGTTTTCGTTGTAGTATAAATTACATTTTTGTAAAAAAAAATAAGTACAGAAAAAATAAATCATCAGAATTTATAAAAAGTAGTATATCTAATTATGTGACCACCACTGTATGTATTACAAATCATATTCAAAAAAAACAAAAGCTGAAGCTTTCACATCAATAATTTTAAATACCTTTTCCTTGAAATGCTTTTCTCGCACACTAGCCCTTAAGCTACAAGTTTTGAGAGTAAGGCAGTGATTAACTCGCCGCTCAAATTTAATGACAACAATTGTTTGCATTGTTTACTAATATCAACCAGACATTTCGGTGAAATAATCTGTTATTACTTGATAAAATTTTCGAACCACTTCTGCGTACCTACACGGAAACAACAAATTTCTACGTAGAATAATTGTTATGACATAAACAAATGTACATATGTATATATAGTGCACAACAAAAAGGTTCTGTGTAAATGTTAACTAACCACAAACCATACATCTGTGCGTACATAAATACCTTCAATGAGCTTAAGTAAGGGGCAGTGATTTCTATAGAAAATAAGCAGTACTTCGAATAAAGGCATGCAGCCGACGCATGAAAAATTTACAATACAAATTTTGGGCATTCTCACTTCCTGGAGAAACCGCACACGCAGACACATATCGACACCTTTGTAGCAGACGAATTCAATAAATATTTATGAATGAATGAAATAAGTAAATAAATTTATATTATAAGTAAGATCAAGTAGATAAAGAATGGGCATATTACGGTACAAATATAGAGTATGAGCGGAATGAAGAAAATATGTTATTCATGTACCGAAAATAAAATTTGCTAAACATAACTGCACCTATCTAGAGTTTCTTAAAATTTAAGAATTTTTTCTTAAATTTATTTTTAACATTCATATCAGGGAAAATTCTGCTAATTCTTTAACTTTTCCTTAAACTAGTGCAAAATATGACTCGTGGAAATAAGATAATGATCGCTTATGGCGGTGGCTATACATTCTACTTGAAACACTGCGTCGGAAAAAATATTGAAAATCTATAAAACGCATTTTGTGCGAATAGAATTGAATGTGATATTTCAAAAAAGGGTACGCCTCGCATGATTTGATAAATATGCACATTTTTTCATATCAATGTAATTCTTCTCTGTATTTACTAAGCTTGAAAAGGGTACAGTTTTGTATCAAATCTACTGAAGTATTCATGGCGAATACCGAAACTTTTTGAAAACATCACAACTCTACGAAAAAGTACTAGTTTTCTTTCCTCAATGCCACAAGTTTTCGGATATGTCCAAATTTCGAAATTGCATGTTCAATTGTGCAAACACTTTCCAAGTTAAAGCGAATACTCTTCTACAAGAACGACTGTATTTTACATTTCGATTTTTAGAAACATGTTTGGAACAACTTTAAATTTAAAAAAAAATATGAACCCACCCTGCAAACCAAAGTTCCCGAAATTTTAACGAAACGATCTTTAGGAGCATCTCATTTTTGTAACGATTTTTTTACGAATCTTCAAAGAAAACAATATGAAGTAGTTGTTAAGAACTCGTAAAGAAAAAGAAAATTTTGAAAAAAATGCCGCAAGAAATTCCTCACATAGCAACATTGTTTTCATTTCTTTACCGATTTTCTTCCGAAATTTCGTAAAAGAATCGAAGTGTACACAGTATATTTAATTTTTAGAAAATTCGGGAAAAAACGCATGAGATCTTTACGAATTCTTTACTTACTGTATATAAGCACAATATACAAATGTATAAAAGAAACACTGTCAATGACAAAGAAATACAAATTCTAATCTTTTTCAGTGAACCAATCGGTTGAGTTTAGTTCGAAAAAAAGAGTTAACTTTTTGTGAAAGAGTAAAAAAAAAAATAATAACAATCAAATTTAACTGCCACTACGCTCAAGTAGTTAAAAAGTATAAACAAACAGAAAAAAGGCAAAAAGCAAAGAGTACACATTTTAATAAATGATCGCAACAGCTGATAAATAATAGACGACTCAAACAGTGAAGCTGCAAAAAAAGAAAATTAGTGTTAAAGCACTCAAGAAATATTTCAAAAATCGCACAAACGTGACTCGACTTACAATTTGATAGACCAACAAAAAATAAATAAAATAAAAAAATATGTGCGAAATGTGATGAATGCTCAGCATTAATATCTTAATCGGCAATTCCAAGCAGGTAAAGTTCCACATGCCTATAATCAAATACATCTACCTTTTTTTTTTTTGAATAGCTTTTTTGCTTTTTTTATTTGCAAATCATAGCGGAAATAATAAATATGCGTTAAAGAGCAACAATTTATTGAGCGACGCAAAGTGACGCGGCGTGACTTAATAAACAGCGATTTGCGAGCCAGCACAGAGAAGTTCAAATTTAACGGTTATAAATGGAGCGATAGAAAGCAGCCGCCTATTTGTCTACAGCAACCTAAATTAATAATTACAGTAGTTAGGCTAAGCCAGCCGATTTCCGCACGGAACTTAAATGGTTATTATTAAACTGTAATCGTTTTTGATATTGGCATTTTCTGTTTTCCGAGTTTTAATAAAATGGACCCTACCCAAATGCAATAAATTTTATGATTTTTTTTTTTTGTATATCTCACAATTTTGCATAATTCTGTTAAATCATCTGCTTTGCATATGTTCGTCTTTCCTAGCTCTCTTCACTATAAATCAAAATAAACATTTTCATATTTTAATTTTTTTTTTGCAACTTACTTGTGCACATCTGCATAAAGACACCACATCCAAATAGGAGAATATACGTAAAAGAATTTCTTTTGGCAGTTGTTTTATAGGTTCATCATCCGTATCCGAAGAACTGAGGAATGTTTGCTGTAAATGAGAGAGAAGGAATTATTTTAATAAATTTTGTGCCAACTTAAAAATAATAGAAAAGCTCATTAGTAAGTTTTTTTTGGTGTATTCAGCTGTGTGCATATAGGGTTACATATATGTACAAACATATGTATACATACATAATAATTTTTTTTTTTGTAAAATTTGTATCCTCTATTAAAAAAATTATATGCGAATGATGTAGATAAAATTACAAACGATGTAAAATAATTTTCAAAATGTAAGGAAAGGTATATAAATAGCAACAGACAAATTTAGATATATTTATAGACCTACAATTTACAACAAAATTAATTGATGTCAAAAGGAAATTTTGGCGTACATTTAGATAAATATGACATTCAAGGCGCAAGAAAGATCAGTAATAAAAACAAGATCAAAAGATTTAAATTTTTATATGAAAAACACAAAGAAATAAAGAAAATCAGTGCAAAGATACGATACTTGGTTTTTTGAAATAAAATAAAATAAAATAAAATAAAATAGAATTAAATAAAATAAAATAAAATAAAATAAAATAAAATAAAATAAAATAAAATAAAATAAAATAAAATAAAACAAAATAAAATAAAATAGAATACAATAAAATAAAATACAATAAAATAAAACAAGTAATATTTGAGCAAAATAGTTAATAAGTTAATAGCTCTGACATATAAATTCAAGGCCGTATTTAAGAAAAGTCGCCTAACTTCGACAATTTTTATGCGATTGGAATAAACGAGCCATCAGTTTGTTTAAAAATAGATTCAATTTTAGATAGTACTGCATATTTTCAAACTATGGAAATTATCGATGGTCAAAATTTAAAAAATTAAAAGTATGTTTTTTTTTCATTTTTCCCCATAAAAAGTACCAACAAGCCAAGTCCGACAATAGATTATTATATACCATTTTAAAGGTCTATATATCCTCTTTTCAGATCATGTTCGATGTTTGAAATCGAATCAAAAAAATGATCCAAAAACTTATAAATCGAAAAAAATTTCAACAAAAAACCTTCCGGGTGGTGTACGGCGATTTTTTTTATTATTTAATTTGCTTGTAAAGTGGTATGGCCTAATGTGCACATTATTTGCCGTTCGTCGACAAAAATTAAAGAAGACACAAAAGCATGAAAGAAATAAATGCAAATAACTTTGCTGCTTGCCATTGATGTACGTGTATGTGTATAACAACGCCCTGGGGCCGTAAAAGACCAAAAGAAATGCACAATCTACACAAAACCACAAAGTTACAAAGAAAAAACAATGAACAATAAAACAAAATAAATAAATACGTAACCACAACTAAGCAAAGCGGAAGGTCATTCGGGCAAAGCAAACAAAAAAACACAAAAATCAAAGAGTATACCTACAAAAGTTAACGCATTAATTTATAAACACACACACATGTTCACAAATAAAAGTTTCTACACTCGCATACCACAAGTAATCGATTGTGTAAGGGGAAAAAAACAAACAAAAAACCAAACGAAGAAGACAGTCGATGTGCCTAACGACGACAAACACCTCTTTAGCACTGACCTTGAATAGGGTTTTACCATTGCGCCAATAAAAGTAACAATTTTAGTTACATATGTATGTACATATAACAACAAAACTGCCGGTCAGCGACAGCCAACCAAGCGTATGAGTATCGATTTATTTTTTTAATTTGTTGTCATGGTACGACCTATGTATGTATACATATATATTTGTATATGTAATGAGTAGTAAAAGGGGAAGTTAACCGCTGCTTCGTGCCACAAACTTTTCAAACTCTTTTTTTTTTTTTGCCCACACGAAAGTTTTCCCATTACAAGTGCATTTATTGGTATTTATTTGTACGTACTATTTGTATGCAAATGTATTAGCTATGTAAATATTTTTGAATTCCCACAACGCCAACCAACAACCCTCACAGGTGAGGTGCATAGTTTATACAAGTAATTAGGATTGGCTAACAAATCTCAAAAGCAAAACAAAATGCCGAAAAAAAACCCATACAAATAAATGATTTTGTTGGTATTTCCGTAGGCTGCTTTCTTCTGTTTCGTCGTGGTCTAAATAGTTCAAAAGCAAGAAGAAAGAGGCGCAGCGCCGCAACAATTGTTTGTTTGCTGTTGGATTTGTTTGGCCAAAATATCTACAACATCAACACAATTGGCAATTATGTACGTACGAAGTGAAAGGTAAATAGGTAAATAAAAACATGAATTTACTGCTTGGCTTATCAGCAGCGCAGGCAAAAAATAAAAGCCACAATACCAATAGCAGAAAAAGAGCATTACGAGGTCTAAGGTTTCAAAGTAAAGTAAAAGTAAAACTGACAACAATAAAACATCGTTCTTGCAGCAGACAAATGCAGGAAAGCTTTTGAAACCTAGGAAATCCAGCTAACTCGAATTTGTGAGTGGCGCCAGCGATAATCGCGCAATTTGTGAGATTGGGATGTAAGGGTGGTCCATATAGTGTTTTTTTTTTCTTGGTGCGGATTTTGGGGCGGTGGCAACACTGTAACGACATCAATAGGTGTAACTAGGGCTGGGACTATTCGAATATTCGGATATGTATATACATACATATGTATATACACATATATATGGATAAATTTTGGACATCTAGTTAATATCCGTTCATTTTGTAATCCGAATATCCAATGTTTGAACGGTTTCGTAAAATTTTCCAAAAATAACTCAATCTATTGAATTACATAATAAATAAAAGAAAGCTTAATTATTTGATTGTTAATTTTTAGATTCGAAAATCCGATTAATATTCGTTAATTTTGTAAACTATATAACCACATATCCGGTTAATATCCGTTAATTTTTTTTATCCGGATTATCCGGATAGTAAAAAAATTCGGATGGAATGTCCAGGCCTAGTTTTAGCGCTAACTATGCATATTGAGATAGAGAATCAATTTAGGTAAGATTTGGTATTAAAGGAAATTTTCCTTAAAAGCTGCTTGATAAAAATGGACTTGATGATATGATTGGCATACATATGCACATTAGACTGCATCACTCCCCATACAAAAAAAAAAAAATAGGTACT